ACTAATCCAAGATCACTTTCTTTTTCTTTCTTTTTGACTGGGGATTGAACCCAGGGGCTCTTTACCACTGATCTCCTTCCCCAGCCCTTTTCATGTTTTATTTTGAGGCAGGGTCTCACTAAGTTGCTTTGGGCCTCCCTAAATTGTTGTGGCTGGCTCAAGCTTGCAATTCCCCTGCCTCAGCCTCCCGAATTGCTGGGATTGCAGTCATGCATCACTGCACCAGCTTTCCAAGACCACTTTCAAGGAACATCATGCCGCTTCTTGGGTAGCACAAGTACTTTATAATGACAAAGTACTCCTCATTCTTTCTGCTATTCCTGCTACAATTGCTGCCATTCATTTATTTTACTTACAATGGTTTGGCTTGTAAGTTTTTAATCATGTGATGATTCAAAAACGATGTAAATTCAATAAGAAACATACTTCACATTTTGAATTTCCACCCTTTCCCAGGCAGTGATATGTGGTATCACACCCTCATGATACAGCAGCAGCAGGCCAGGGCTCCCAGTTAGCCCTGCAGCTGTGGGAATGACCCACGTGCTCTACAGTGGATGGTGTGGCTGAGCTATGATGTTTAGTAGGTTAGGTGGAGGAAAACTTGCAGTATTTTCAACTTACAACGGGTTCCTTGGGATGTAACCAACCACAGGGTGAGCAACATTTGTAGACATAAGTAATACAGTTAAATACATCTTTGCTATTATTATTTCAAACAAAACACTATTTGTTTGATCAAGTATAGTGAAGTTTTTCTTTTATTTCCACTTATTCATCCTCAGACTCTTCTTCCTGTAGATGCAGTTTCTGACTTACGTCATTTTCCTTATCACTAAAGAACTTCCTTAAACATTTCTTTCCAGGCAGGTCTGTGGACAAATTCCCTCAATTTTTATTTCCTTGAGAAAGTCTTTATTTCTACTCGACTTTTGAAGGATAATTTTTCAGAATCTAGTATTCTAGGTTGGTGTTTTCTTTTTCCTTTCAAAATACTAAATATTTCCCTCTATTCTCCCCTTGCTTGCATGGTTTCTGAAAAGAAGTCAAATATCTTTGCTCTCTGCAGATGAAGCGTTTTATTCCCCTCTGACTTCTTTCAATATTTTTCTTTACCTTCAATTTTCTGCAGTTTGGATATGATATGTGCAAGAGTTGCTTTTTGACATGTGTCTTATATTTTCTGAG